AAAAAAAAAAAAAAAAAAGAAAAGAAAAAGAAAAAACTTTTAACTGGAAATGTAAACTTGAATAAAAAATCAAATTAGGGGGTGCCTGGTTGGGTCAGTTAGAGGAGCATGCAACTCTTGATCTCGGGGTCCTGAATTCAAGCCCCATGTTAGGTGTAGAGATTATATTTAAAATAAATTTAAAAAGTTAAAAAATAATAATAAAATTAAATAAATAATTAGATTATGGCATTTTTTAGGTATTTAAAGTAAATTCTACATTTAATCTACATGGACGTAAGAAAATGAATTATCCTATTTTCTGATACCTTAAAGAGGAAGAAGAGAAAAGTTACCTGAAGTTGATGGACAAATCCAGCATTAGGATTAATACAAAATCTTCTTTCTTGAACATAAGCAAATGCATCTCTGAAAACAAAAAAAGAAAACTAAGGTGATGTTATTATTTCATGAATAATCTCACTTTTTTCATAATTTACCTAAAATAAGAACTTATCCCAAAAATTTACCTAAAATAGGAAATCATATACAGCTTTTACTACAGAGAGGTGGAGATGTAGAGGAAAAATCGACAGCATGGTCAGATGAAATATCACAATCCCGCTTATTTACCAGCTTGTGTTCTAAGGGAAGCTGCTCAACTTTCTAAACTTTATTTTTCTCATCTGTAAATTAGGGATTATAATAATTCCTATCTTGATAGGCTACTGTGAAGATGGAAGATATAAGTGTAAAGCACCTTTGTAGAGCATCTATCACACAGTACGTGCTCAAAATATTACCATTGTTTAAACAAGGAGAACTATATCTACTCCCTTGTGTTGTTGTAAGGCTTAAATGAGATAAAAGAGCCTAGAATAGTACCTTCCACAGACCCAATGTATGGAAGCTATTTTCACCATTATTATTACTGACAAGACACCAAATAATAAAGAGAATATATAAAACATAACGTCTAGCCAGCATTTATCTTTTTCAATTAAATAAATGAAGGATTTGTATTCAAATAATATTAAGAATTGACACTTTAGAGAGACAGAGTGAGAGTGTGCGAGCAGGTGGGGGGAGAGGCAGAGGAAGAGGAAAAAAGAGAATCTTAAGTAGGCTCCATGCCCAGTGCAGAGCCCAATGTGGGCTTCGAACTCACAACCCTGAGATCATGACTGAGCCAAAATCAAGAGTGGAACACTCGACCAACTGAGCCACCCAGGTATCCCTAGGAACTGACACTTTTAAGAAATTTAAACACAAAGGATACCAAACAAATTAAACAAGCATTTGAATGTCTAGTATTTATTAGTCATGTGGATCCAAGGCTGAATACAGCTCAAATGAAGAGACTAACAGAGAACATGATACAATGATGGATAAGTTGATACAGGCATATCACACAAAGTTTCACTGGCCATGTTAAAAATTATTAAGGATCAGAAACCTTTGAGAGCTTTTTGGGGGTACGGTGATTATATGACCAGATTTATCTTTTGAAAAGTTCACTCCTACTGTAGTGCAGAAAAAAACGGACTGGAGAAACAAAAGGATACATAAAACCACTAAGAAGGCTACCATTGGAAGAGTCCAGGAAAGACATGATTGGAGCTTGGATTGAAGATTAAATGATGATGAAGAGAAAGATAAAGTGACAGATTCAAGGTATATTTTAGGACATAAAACAGGTTGGTAAAGGGTCAGTTTAGGAGGTAAGGAGTGAATGACAAGGAGGTGTCAATGATTACAAGATTTCTAACATGTACAAGACACACTAAGAACAGGAAACACTGTACATTGACCAGTTTTTTCTTTTGTTCTGGGGCACTCTCTCTCTTTTATCTAGGTAGTATGCTTGGAAAAGTTGATTCTGGATAAGAAAGACTACACTGAATTATGAACAGAAGATGAAACAGTGCCTAGGTAATTTTTCACCCAACTATTGTTAAAGGAAAACGTAATAAATTAGCCTTTTATAATTTTTTTAACGTTTATTTATTTTTGAGAGAGAGAGAGAGAAAGAGAAACAGAGTATGAGTGGGGGAGAGGCAGAGAGAGAGGGACACACAGAATCTGAAGCAGGCTACAGGCTCTGAGCTGTCAGCACAGAGCCCGACACAGGGCTCGAACTCATGGACTGTGAGATCATGACCTGAGACGAAGTCGGAGGCTTAACCAACTGAGCCACCCAGATGCCCCTAGATTAGCCTTTTAAACAAGGGAAGCAATAAACATCTGTGTGTACGAGTTTGTGTGTGTGTGTGTGTCTAAGTTTTTAAACTCAGACTGAACAATTCTCTAGTAGTAAATAATTACTTTTCCAAGGGTTATTTCCAACTGTAACTATCATGGCTTCTTAAAATAACATTTAGCACTAGTTCCCTAAAACCCTAAAATATTAGCCTAAAGTATATCTACACAAGGTAGACAAGCTACAAAGGTTAAACGACTAAGCATGGAATATAAGAACCTGCCTAATCAAACATGACTAGATGACAAAATGAAGAGAATATCAACTTCAAACTCCCAAACTGTTTCCATTAAGCTTCATTTTAATGAGAATTTAAATTGGCTAGGTTTCAGAGTGCTTTCTTACCTGTACTTCATTCCAAATGTTTCCATAATGTATGCAATAACAAAGGCAGCACTGAAGAGGGGGAAAAAATTTTAGAAAAAAATAGAAAACACAACTCATTAATTAAATGCTAGGAAAAAAAATATAATCTCTAACTTCATACCTCCTGGAGATCCCTGCATTTCCATGGACAAGAACTTTTCCTGAAAAACAAGAAATAATTACTCTGACAAAATATATCTATCTATCTATCTAATTCAGCAACTAAAATATATTGAAACCATGTACTATACCATAGTAAGATAAATCCTTTCTTAAACGTTTTATGTTTTATACATACCATTTAGATACTTATTAACTTTCAAGTTTTACAATTTATATTACCTGTAGACTTTGAAATTAAAGACATTTAAAGCTGACCCAGAATTCAAAAATGGTTGTATAGGGTTACTTAAGAAAGCCTATCCAAATGAAACAAGGAGTTGGGAAAAAACAAATTTGGGAATAGTCTATTACATACAATTCCAACTTCCATACCCTTCATTTAAGACAAATGGTAACTAAAAAATTAACTATAACACATAATCTCCTGAAAATAAACACTGGCTACATAAAGAAATTACTATTTACCTCCAGTCTGTAAGCTTCCATCAATAAATTCTTTAGTCTGAAGGCAAAAGACATGTGTTTTAATAAAACATCTGGAGTAATATAAGCATAAAATACACAGAATAAAAATTATTGAAAAAAATTCCAGCTAATTTATATGAATACAAATCACCTTAATTCAAGAATTTCCAAAATACTACAAATGTGACTATTACAATTTTTTAAAATTATACAGGAGCTAAAATTTAATTTGAATTTAATAAATTCAAGGTGTGATTTCTCAGATATTTAGCGATCATAAAATGGTTTTAATAATAAATTTTCTTTAAATATAATCCCACAATTTTCAGTCATAACAAAGTAAAAGTAGCATGGGAAAGAATTAGTTTCATTATTATTAAGTTTTAGAACCACAATTAAGAGGTCAAATCACAAATTCTAAATATTAAAATATTTTATACCTACCATGGGAAAATAACGTATTATATTTTCAACTGGATTATCTGCAATATCCAAGACTAAATATCTGAAAATAGAATATTTTGTGATAAGCACACATTCAGATAAAATTCTATGTATAAAAAAATTTACAAAATTTCTTGGCAACCAAGAAAATAATGCAAAACAACTTTCAAAGTGTCATATGCCCAAGAACTGGGTCATAGATTTTATATTGCTTAAATACATACATAGCATTTTTAAATGCTTCAGCCTTAAATAACAAGTTAATATTTCTCTGATATTTTATAGTATAAAAAATCTATCTGGTTAAAACTGTAAAATCCCAAGAAGGAAGAAACTTTCCTCTATATCAGAGTGGACCTAGAATATAAAGACAAAAAGTGTCTGTATTCCTTATTGTTATTCTTCTATTTCTACTAACTTCCCCATGGACTAGAAGATTCTTCTCTGAGTGGCCCTGTGACCACTCCTCACAACCCTATATAGGACGATTCAGAGTAAGCCCAAAGTCTCAAAGAGAGGAAGGTAATCAAAATAGAAGTCTGATGGAGCCAGAATGATGGGAGTCAAATATCCATTGCTTGAACTAACCTTCAGTAGAGCAAAAAAAAAAAAAAAAAAAAAAAATCAACCAGGAGACCACCTGTCCTACAATTTTACACTTTGGAAAACACTGAAAATAAGATATTACTCATATGCTAGGCTTATTTTATTTTGTGAAAAACTTCCATTTCTAACCTACCCAAGACTACTTGCTTATTAATACATCTATAGTAATTAAGATACAAAATTAATTTTTAAAGTCAATATTGCCTTAAAAATTACAGTTCTTTAGCAATCATTTAGGTGGTTAACAACTTCAGTAAATTCAGGGCTTATCACAGAGAACCCAAAACTCAGTATCCAAGGATAATCCAATGTAAAAACCAAAAGGATTCTGACAATGGCTGTCTCCTCAAGTGATTTTGTAGACTGAACTGTTACATAAAACACAGCTTCATAGAAAAAAAAGTTAATTCAGCATCAATCTAACATGTTTTATTACACACCATTTTGAGTGTCAAAAACTATTAGCAGAACTATCAATCTATAAGCCAATATTCTAAATCTAAGGAGAAAGAATTCTTCCATTAGGATAAAATAGCTGCACACAGGACATTTTGGTACTAAAAACAAAAACACAAATTAGAAATGTATAGGATGGCATTTTAAAATATCACACTGTAATTTTCTTTAATATATGTTAAGTCTATATGTGTGTAAGCATAATACACATATGTATGATAGAGTAAGATTTACAAGGAACATGCCAAAATGTTAACTAAAGTGTTTTCTCTGGGTTGTGGAATTGTGGATGATTTTACATTTTTCTTAGTGTCATTCTGTATTTTCCATAGTATCTATAAAGAAGAAGGATTTCTTTCACAATTAGAAAAAAAAATTCAATCTATTTTATTTTAGAATAGAACATCTCTTTGTTAAAATAAGTTTTTAGGGGCACCTGAGTGGCTCAGTCAGCTAAGCATCTGACTTCGGCTTAGGTCATGATCTTGCTGCTCATGAGTTCAAGCCCGGCTTCGGGCTCTGTGCTGACAGCTTGGAGCCTGGAGCCTGCTTCAGAATCTGTGTCTCCCTCTCTTGCCCCTCCCCAACTCATGCTGTCTCTCTCTCTCTCTCTCACACACATACACACACACACAAATGAACATTAAAATTTTTATAAATTTAAAAAATTTATAAAATTTTAAAAAGTTTTTATTAACTGAAAAATATGTACACATGGTAAAAAATTCTAACAATATAAAAATATTTGCAATAAAAAAGTAGGCCCTTCTACCAGACTCTAAATTTCTCTTCTCAGAAGCAACCACTGTCAAATTTCTGGTGTGTTAGTCTAGAAATTTTCCATGCATATACAAGAACCTATGTCTAATGTATGTATTTTTAAACACATTGAGAGTATATATACACTTGGTTGTACACCTTGCTTTTTTAATAAATCTTAATGATTATTCCATATCAACACAGAAATATTTCATTCTTTTTCATGGTTATAGGATTCTATTGTACATTCACACACACTATATATTTTTTAATTTTTTAATGTTTATTTTTGAGAGAGCGTACACACAAGTGGGGGAGGGGCAGAGAGTGAGAGGGACCTAGAATATGAAGAAGGCTTCAGGCTCTGAGCTGTCAGCACAGAGCTGGATGTGGGGCTCAAACTCACAGAGTGCAAGATCATGACCTGAGCCAAAGCTGGACGCTCAACTGACTGAGCCACCCAGGCACCCCTACACAATATATTTCAGAATGTCCTGTATTGATGGAAAATCAGGTTGCTTTCATTTTTACAATCAATCAATCAATCAGAGAATTACAACAATATGTTTTTATATAGATACACAGTATCTCTAGAATATTTGAGTTAATAGTAGCTGCCTCCCAAGAGAGAAGCTGGAGCTTGGGTTTAGAGGAGAAAAGAGACATACTTTATTTACACACCTTTTTTGCACCCTTTTTTATATCACTGTAATATATAGACTTATTTTTAAAATAAAGTTAAAATAAAACTAAAAACCATTAGATGCTCAACCACACTCATTAGAAGATAAACGAGAAAGGCAAATTAGAACTACGTGAGACATCATTTTTACTCTAGAAAATTGGGAAAAATTACAACTGTTTTACAATTTGTCTTAGAGATACCAAGGAAATAGTCTCTTCTCATTCACTTCATAGTGGGAATGTAAACTGATACAACTCATTGGGGGGCAATTTGCAACATCAATTAAAATTTTAAATGCTCATATTCTTTGATGCAATAATTCCACTTCTACACTTTATCCAACTGATATATTCACACATGAATTAAATGAAATGCATGGGAATACCTGCTATATTAGCAGACTGGAAACAATCTAAATACCCAACAACAGGAGACAGACTGAATAAATTTTAGTATAGCTATTCAATGGATTACTATGAAACTTTAAAAAATCAGTGCAGCTCTCTAAGTAATAATATGAAGCAATCTCTAAAAGTAAATTAAAAAAAAAAATCTTTAAGCCAGTGTAAAAAATAAAAGTTTATCTGTAGGACTGTTTGTATATACAACATAATCCTGGAAGGATACTCAAAGAGTAACAGTGAATGCTTCTAGAGGGGAACTGGCTATCTAAGGGATAAGGATAGGGAAACTTTTCAGTATACTGTACATGCTTTTGAATCTTTAAAATTCTGCATTATATGATTTAGTTACTTATTTAAGAATTTAAAGAAGTTTATTTTTTAAATGATATACCTATATGAGCATCCTTATAAAACATATATGTACAGAAGTCTGCTATAATAAAATCAACTTGAAATAAAAATACATGTTTGCTACCCATAACATTTTAATACATCATAACCATAATTCTTACCTAAATAATTGTTGAAAGTTTGGTTTAACAAAGTTTGCTTCAATATTTTGTCTTATGCATATTATATGGGTTATTCCATATTTCTGTAGAATAGGTAGCTATAAAAAGAGAGGGACAAGGGAGAGAAATAGTTTAAAATACAAAACATCGCCTTGCTGTAACATAGGTGTTTGAAATACACAGGACTGAACATTAAAATTACATAGCCACATCTGAGCTTTAGGCACAGGGTATTAAAGCTAATTTTACAATAATTTACCTGAAGTGATAGGTAAAATATTTCAATGATTTAAGATTAATATATACTACATATGCTCAAAAGGCTAATAAGATTATTTTACATCCATAATTTTAGGGCTTGTTGAGACCTTAAAGATCATTTATTTGGTAAACAATACTATATAGTGGTTAAAGGCTTTGTAGTCATGAGAATCCCAACCTCTATCTTCCAGCTCTGCTAATGACCTGAGCTCTGTGGTTCGGTACTAACCTTTCCACTGAGTGGTTAGATGAATTACATAAGATAATATATGTAAGGAATTTGGCACAGTGCCTGGGGCACATGGCAAGCGTTCAGTAAATGGTAATTACATATACTGACTACAAACTTTATTCTTTAGAAGGGACTGCTAAGACATAAACAATTATTGAACATCACTGACATAGTTAATTGGAATACCAGGGCCCAAATCTCCCTGCCTCTCTCAGTACACTTTTTCTGATACAAGCCAGAATTAACTTATACAGTTCACAGACTAAAGTTTCAGTTTAAAAATTTTTCTCAAGTTAACTGGCAACTCCAAATGATATTATATTCTGTGGTGTCTTTTGGCTATACATTTAAAGCAATTTAATGTGACATTTAAAGCAATTTAATATATTAAATATATTAACATTTAATATAAGATGTTATATACATATACTATATGTGACGTAATACATATGTGTTATTTTAATAGAATGTAAATTCCAAGAGAACTATGATTTTGTTCACAGATTCATATTAAGTATGTATAACAGTGCCTTGAAAATATTAACTGTTCAACAACTATATGTTTGTTAAATATATTTAACAAATCATGCTGGCATAAGGAATCAGAATTCATAATTTTGAGTTTTCTATGAAACTTTTCAGCTTACGCTCATATATTTAATTCCCACTTTCTGCATTAAATAGTCCAGAACAATAATACTAATAATCCATCAGAGAAGTCAAAGAATAATTTATATTTGTTATGGACTGAATGTTTGTATCTCCCTAAAATCTGTATGTTGAAGTCCTAACTTCCAAGTTGGTATTAGGAGATAGGGCCTTTGGAAGGTAATCAGAGATTTAGATGAGGTCATGTGGGTAAAGCCCACATGATGGAATTAGTGCCCTGAAAAAAGGAACAGCCATCAGGACTTTGTCTCTCTGCCATGTAAAGATACAGCAAGAATGCAGCCATCTGCAAGCTAGGAAGAGGGCCCTTACCAAAACCTAACCATGTTGGCACCTGATTTCAGATTTCCCAGCCACTTCAACCACAAGAAATAAATGTCTGATGTTTAAGCCATTGGTCTATAGTATTTTATTACAGCAGCCTGAGCTAAGAAAATATGGCTTTCAAAAGTTTAAAATGTTAATTTTTGCAGCAAATGTTCTGATGTCTGGCATATACTAGATAGAGTTTAATTATCTTTGTATTTCCTGAGTGTACCCTGAGTTAAAAGAAGGGAGGTAAACACTTGGTAGGATTAATATTTAATCAATGTTCCATATTCACATTTACTAAACTGTCAAAATGTATTCAATATCCATTCTTTATACTTGATCTGTGATATATAAAGATACTTTATTAATGTGAGAAATCACAGGAAGATATATATAACTATGGATAAAAATCTGCTTTAACACAAATCTTGAAGGCACATTAAACTATTACTAAGTAAAAAAAAAAAAAACAAAAAAAAAAACAAAACCTTAACAAAATAGGACCCAAATGTAATAGCATACAGAATACTTTTACTTTCCAATGGATTTTCATTTATATAAAGCAAATTATGACTTACTCATACCTACAAACTACAGAAAAAATTGTATAAAAAGAAACAGTTCACTACTGACAAAGAGCCTAAATTTGTCCCTTTTCAAAAAAATTTTTTTAACATTTATTTATTTTTGAAAGACAGAGACAGAGTATGAGCAGGAGAGGGGCAGAGAGAGAGGGAGACACAGAATTTGAAGCAGGCGCTAGGCTCCGAGCTGTCAGCACAGAACCTGATGCTCAGGGCTCAAACTCACAAACCGCGAGATCATGACCTGAGCCGAAGTCAGACTTAACTGACTGAGCCACCCAGGAGCCCCAATTTGTCCCTTTTATTAAAACTGTATTTGAATGTAATAAAAGATAAGCTTAACTAAACGAGTATTAGAAAGGGAGTTTATTCCCTAAGATTTATCTGTTATTATTTGTTGTTGTTACATATTTTTAGGATGATGGTATGAAAAGGAAGACAAGCTGTTCTATGGTGATTCAGAATGAGAAATAATCAAATTTCGCCATAGAAACTTTTCCTCAGTCTAATAATTAGACCATGGTGAAGGCGATGGTAAAGAGGTTTTGAGGAAATCTATAAACAAATAATTTAATGTGACAAATACTATAATAGATATATTTATAAAATGCTGTGGGAATACAAAAAGTAATCTAACAATTTTTGTGAATACTATTTTGTGAATACTACATTATTTGGCTTTTGTTTGTCTTAAGTAAATCAGTTAAGTCTATAGTTAACTACTCTATCCTTTCCTTAGTACTTTTTTTTTTTTAAGCAACACTGTGCCTATCCAACCCAGCTGTAGACCATCAAAACTAGGTTTACTCTTATATATGCCTCAATAGTCAAAAAGCCTTCCAGTTTCAAAGAAATGACTCTAACTCTAAAAAAACTCCCAATCAAAGGGCAACTGGGTGGCTCAGTTGGTTAAGCGTCCAACTTCAGCTCAGGTCATGATCTCATGGTTTGTGGGTTCGACATCCTGCATTGTACTCTGTGCTGACAGCTGGAGCCTGGAGCCTGCTTCTGATTCTGTGTCTCCCTTTCTCTCTGCCCCTACCCTGCTCATCCTTTATCTCTAGCAAAAATAAACTAACATTAAAAAACAAAACAAAACAAAACAAAACCTCCCAGCCACCCAAAATTCATAAATACATTAAATTAAATCATTAGATTTAAAAATTCTACAGTTTTGCGGGCACCTGGGTGGCTAAGTCGGTTGAGCATCCTACTTTTGATTTCAGCTCAGGTCATGATCCCAAGGTCATGGGATTGAGCCCTGCATTGGGCTGTGCACTGAGCGTGGAGCCTGCTTGAGATTCTCTCTCTCTCCCCAACTCTCACACTCTCTCTCCAAAACGAAACAAAAAGAAAAAAGAAAAAAAAATTCTACAAATTTTTTTTTACAAAACTTACCATAGGTAGAGTAGGTATCATACACAAGAATAGTGACTTCAAAATAAGGTATCAGGGAAAACATTTGTGATACACTGTTTCACATTATAACTCAAAGCAAATTAGTAGCACTGTCATAATTCCTAAGACTGAATCCCCTAGTAAGTGGCAAATTGCTACATATATTAAAATGAATCTAAAAAAATCAATAAATAAAAATTAAAAAAAAAAAAAGAAAGAATCTACCATGTTAAATGTGTAACTAAAGAAATCCATTTCAATGCTCTGGTTTCTCTTCAAATCGCATAAATCTTTCGCCTTTTACTAAAGAAATCCATTTCAGTTTGACTATATAGGAGACAAGAGACATATATGTGGTATAATACTTTACAACCTGGAGCATCCAGGTCTCTAAAGTTTGGAAAAACAGAAATAAGATTTTACCAATTAAAACACGTGCATACACATGCACATATACACACATTTACCCTTGATAAGGAAAGATTAACTAAAATGTTAAATACACTTATTTTGGGCTTTAATTCTATCTCACTGTTCAGAGATATGATTAGCAATGATAGATACCTAATCTTTTAGAGGGTAAATAAAGGTCAATTATCAATTGGTAAATCTTTCAAACACATGGATTCATGAAAAAACTGATTTATAAAAGCTCATTTGTGATTGATGATGAAATATTTGAGAATCACTGGTACAGTAAAATTTGGAAAGAGGCAGGTACTCCAGAGTGACATGCAATATTTGTGGACCTTCTCTCTTACAACTAAAAAATTTATTCCAAAAAAGCTGGTTAATAAAGTCTCTTGACGAACTTAATCTAAAATTCATACCTTGCTTTTCATGGCAGAAGAATATGGGCCTAAAAACAATCCAGGTAAAATTTCCTAGAAAAAAAAAAAAATTGAGAGATTTACCATCAACAATTTAAATATACACAAACCATGTACCACATAAGTGAACTTGTGGAGTTTTCATAGTTGTTATAATAATTTATTAAAAAGCTTGCTATCTAGGGACGCCTGGGTGGCTCAGTTGGTTGAGCGTCCGACTTCGGC